GTGTTATTATACATTAGACTAACTATAAAAAAAATCCGATCGGTCGAGAACATTCAATCAATATACAATAATGTGTGAAGTGGACATGATCGATAATCCAGTATCTGCTGCGAATATTATGTTTATCATGTAGAGTTCAATGTCTCCTAAGTTTTCATGCCCCTTGTCCGTGTAGAGTTCTCAAACTTTTGTGAATTAAACTTATAGAGAACTCAATATGGCTGAACGTTTTTAAAAAATCTATTATAGAACAATTATCGAATCTGGTTTTTGCTTGATATCATGAATTATCAAACCTCATGACTGTGTTATCTGCCTTGGCCTTTCGCTTCAGCAGATGACCTCAGTATTGCAATAGCAGTGTTTTTTGGTTTTGTTAAGTGTGATAATTCTATTATCATTATTTTCTAATCATTGGAAGTCACATACAGCTGCCAGTTATAGCAGAGGTTTGTTCAATGATGCACACGCTTTTTTATGATAGAGGTAATGAAGAACGATTGTTTTCCGTGTATTGTTAAATAGTGAAGTAATTTACCACATTATGTCAATAAGACTCCTGAAAGCTTACAGTCAACCCTGTTGTTACCAACAATAGGAACATAAAACTAGATATTGAAATCTGCATCTGGAACTCGAGCCAAGACCTCAATGATTCCACTCTTGCTCAAAAACACAATTTAGCTTACTAAGCAGTGACAGAGATCGACACGATAACAAGACTTGCTATATTTAATAACGGGATGGAGTAAACTTCTTGCTCTCTAAAAAGACCTGTATCATGAATCTGCAAGCAGCTACTTCAGTGGAATCTCAAATAATTCCAATCTTGCTTTGAACTGACGTCTGGAAATACAATTTACGTTACTTAGTAGTAGCAGAAACGCCCTAACAAGATATGCCAAATTTATCGACGAAATATTTAAACATAGATATTTTTCTTAGCATCTATTTAAACTCTTTTGTAATTGCCAAAAGCTTATAGTGGAGATTTACTAGAGGAGAATATGTCCCATTTAACGATAGACAAACTTTATCCCGACCGTTGAATGTAGCACGACTGTTGGTGTCGTTCTGAATGGTTTTCAAATGTTGCTCCGTGGTCATCGCAAAGTCTTGAAACCTCGAATTCATTTGCATGGCGTGACGAATGTGATTTCCAAGGTAGGTAGCAATTGATCCGACGAACTCCAAACCTTCGGAAGCCAATTTTTTCATCTCTTTAATCTTTCCTTGTAACTTTGAAATCTCCGCGTTGGATTTCTCTAGCTCGGCTTTAGCTTCACTGAGCTTTTTCTCCATGTTATCCATTTGCAATTCAACCATCCTCCTCTGAGAAAGAGGCTCGATTTGATCGTACAACTCGTGGCTCTTTATATCTTCCGTGGAAAGATTTTGCGTTTTCTTGATGCAATCAGTTTTCAGTCTTTCAAAGGAAAAATTTTGGGCGACGATTAGGGTTTCCATAATGGAGCTGATTTCGTTCTTCTTTTCCATTCCCCACAGAAGATAATCTTCACATTTTTGTGTGAGTACTGTCATTTGATATTCTCGAGCAAGAGGCAACAAGAAATCTAAGTTGTTGTCTGTCACTCGTTTGCAGAAACTCGGATA